GTATTAAATGAGAGTGGAACCTAACAGTTATACAGTTAATCGATTAAATTGTATTGCATTTAAGCAGGTTTATTTCTAGCTTCATACACCCGGACTCTACCCCATTTAATTGGCCTAAAAACGCGGAGGTGTTGGCTTTGCGTTTTTCTCTGTTTCTGCCTTATTGAAAAATTTAACTTGTAATAAAATTTAATGACTTTGCCCTTTTTAATAAAAGTGTGCCAAAGCTCCGCCCCCCTTATTACACTGCACCCGCTCAGCTTTAGCCCACAATTTAAGCGCAAATTTGTGTTCATAATCACAATTTTCGTACCTTTTCTTTTCTTATTTTTGGTGGTTCGTAATGACTACACAGAAAACCCGGAGCAGTTCTGCCACGCCCATGTCCACCCCCCGCCCATCGGGCTGTGCATGCAATAAAAAGTAACGAGGCTGTTAGCATTAAGGCAAACGTTTGGACCGCGGCGGCGGTCAAGAAGTCAGCGGAGTGATTGAAACAAAAAAACCCACAGACTCATTGACGTTAAGTTGGCGTTAATATTGAAATTTATATTGCGATGTTGCCGGTTCTGCAGCCCTGACCCTCACCTTGTCTGACCATCAATTCCGCGTTTAATGCCTGCGCAAATATTTGCGCTTTCAGCAAACAAAACAAGCGCCGACGCCGCCGCAGTGTCCTCTGTTTCAGTAAAGCAATTGACCGTCGCTCTGGACACGTCAATTTACGTGCTGAACAAGAGCAAGAATAGCAACCGCGAAATAAAAACAACGGCCACTGCACAGCGCCGCAAGCTGTACTTCCGTTTCCGCTTGTCCTTGAACCGCCGGCGCGTGAGGCGTGCCGCACGTCGTGTTGGCCGCGTTATTTGTGCAACATACAACAACTAACGCAGGTGTGCACACCCACACCACAGCCACATACCACATATCCATACACCCCTCTAGACAGGAAATAGCGGCATTTGTTTTTGTGGCCAGCTGGCTGACTTATGTTGGCCCAAGGCGCATGCCGTAAATAACCTGGTTAATCATTTAATTTAAGCACGAGCACATGATAGCCCCAGACGCACACAATTCAAATATATGGCCTGCTAGGCCGAAAAGCCTTTCGACCCACTTAATTTATTGTGATTTGCTTTCTGCTGATTGCTACCAGCCTATATAAATGCTGCGGGAAATCTACAACCAAAGCCAATAGCCACTTATTATGCACTGTGCCCAGCTGTAAAAAGAGTATATTTGTTTTGTGTAGTACGCATTGCCATATGTCTTTGAAATATACTACATATTCTCTTTAGGTTATTCAAATTTGAGCTGGAAACTTTGGTTTTTATTCCTGTATAAATCGCAGCCTATTAATGCTTGTGTAATTAGAAAAACCTATTGGGGTATTCACATTTGCATGCACAGCTGTATAAACTAGCTTTCGGTAGTTTTTCTAAAACAAAATGAACTGAGTTGCACTCCCTGCCCAGATCCTAGTCGAATTGATTACTGTAGACTTGTAAAAAAAGTGTTGGGTATATTATTTCATGATTCCTAACACTTAGCGTTTTGTCAGCGTTTTGAGCTATTTTGTTACACAAAATACTAATTAAAGAAAAGCCGTATTTGAAAAATTGAACTTAATTTCAACTTTTGCAAATTTAAACAGACAAATATACTAAACGATACTCGCATACTCACAAAAATTCGTTCTCCCTGGATCCTGCAGATTATCTATCAAAGTACACTTAATGCAGATTTGTATGGAAATTATATCAAACTCAAACACAGGCCGTGCATAATATGTCCCCCCAAACAATAGTCTCAGTAAATCGCACTTCTTTGCCTTATTGAGTCTTAAAGCCACCGTTTTTCGGTTACAATAAGTAAGCCACAGTTAAAAAGCTAACTGCAAACGTTCGCTTCCTGATGATTTTTTGTTACTGCCCTCCTTTCTCAATTAATAAGCCTTGGTTTCAATACAGTAGAGCATGCACAGTGTATTCTGCAGTCGGGAATTATTAATTGTCATATTTTTATCACATTCGGGGCTGACATTTTGTTAATTGCATTTCCGTTTGTCCATGGGCCATATGCGCAGTGTTCGGAGGCACAGGTGCACAAAGTGTTGCATTCTTTTGTGCGCGCATTTAAATATAACTTGCGCGCAGAGCCAGACACAGTTGCTGCCGCTGGCACGTTGCGCAAATGCAACTATTTACTATTTATTTACAACTTACATAAGTACGTGCTAGCTGCCCCTTATGCCCCGCCCGCTTTCTCTACGACTTGGCGCATTTTATACGCTAAAAGTCGCACACACAAAAATGCAAAAGTATAAACATTCTTGCGCTGGCAGCTGTAAAAGTTTTCGCTAAACGCATTTCAAACACTCGCTGAGATAGTTATTACAATTGTACACAAAACTAGCAGCAGCAGCAGCAACAACAATGCGCGGTAAGGGCACGTTGGGGGCAAGTTGGAAACTTGCAGCATTTTCTTCAAATGAAATGCAAAATGCACAACGCTTCGACTTGTGAGGGGTGTTGTGGGTCAGGGGCTACAGCGTAATATTTACAAAACAGTTTTCTTCTTTTTGTGGCGTGTTGCAAGATAGAAGCCATTCTGAAGTGCAGTTAGCTTTGATCGGCATATGGGCGTGACGCTGCCAGCCGGATCTACATAGACGAGCGCGCCGGAAGCAACGAGGACGACGACGACTAGTGCTGTGGCAAACATCCGCTGGACAATTGATGGAAGCCTTGTTATTGTATGCAGAGCAGCGTACTCATACCCCACTGCCACATGTAGTAAGTTTTGGTGCAAGTACCAGTGCAACAAGCATTTGCCGTGCGGAAAACTTTTGTGCAGCTGCTGACTAGCAACGGTCAGGATGAGCCTCGGTTCCGCTAGCTAGCGAATATACCCAACTAAATACGTATATAAATATCTCGCTCTCTCTCTCTCTCTCTCTCTATACATATATATATATATATGTATATATATAGTCTTTCTTATTCTTTTTTTCGTGTTGTTGTCGTAAGAGGTCCTGCGCATCGTCGCCTGATGTTTTTCGTTTCGTTTCACGCCAGCAGCAAAGTGCACAGCGCAAAGTTTTGTTTACAAAGTTTTAAAATTTTTGTGGCACCCAGTTGAACTTCCTACTGCCTTGATGCCTGCCACCTGCCGCCTGCCACGTTAAGCGACACTCACTTCCCGCTGTTGATGATGTTGCCGGCAAACCAGATCCGCGCTGTGGCACCCAGCCGCGCAGCTGCCCTACAGCCATTGATAATCTAAGGGTATTTGCAACTGCTGCTGCTGTCTTCAATGAAGTGCACCTTTTTCTTTCTTCCCCTCTCCGTATCTTTTTTTCTCTCTCTTCCTCTCTGTGTCTGTCTCTAGACTGAGCAACTGCTGCCACATTGTCGCTGCCATTTGACTGGCTAGCGCACAGACCAACAACAGTTAGCAGAGGCAGTTGAGGAATGTGCTGCGGCTGTTAACTACTAATAATCCATCATTAGTGACGAGACACAAGACACGAGATGCAATTATGTGGCTAGTCTATTACTTTTTTGCTGTTGGTAAATAATGCAGAAAATTCAGCACTTTGCCGAAAGCACTCGAGGCTGGAGCTTGTGGATGGGGCACTTACTTTCGCGTCTATTTGCCTGCAGCACTTGGTGACGCCGCATCCTGCTGCTCCTTCGACTTGTCATTGCGTGTAAAATTATGTCAACGCTTGTCAACTTTTATGTTCAGCACAGAAGTTCAGTCAAGTGCCACACCCATCGCAGCCAAGGCGAGCTCAAGTGCCTTTGAGCATGCATTGAGTGAATGAATAAAAGTTTCTTTTGCCGCGCATGTTTACTTACCGAGTGTGCGTATGCGAGTTTCGTGTGTATGTGTGTGTGTTTCACCGCCGTTTGTTATTGACTGTACATAAAGAGTGCAGTTGCAGTGGCACTAGCAGTGGGTCTGGCAGTTGCACAAAGTGTCTGCAAACTTTTTAAATTTAAATGTGAAATTTACGAAGCCCGCGCAATCACACACACAAACACACACACTCCTATTCGCACCCACAGGCAGCAGGCGTACCTCAGTTGCAACTTTAATGTGGCAACTTTTGGTAACCTAACAAGTTTGGCCACGCCTACTTACTCTGGCGCGCATTAGCGTGCCACAGCTCAGTTTCTTATTAAAACTTACACTCACTTTTTTCCAAACTGTCCCGGCTAATTAGCTTTTTCGCAGGCTGTGCTTTTTTTTTTGCTTGCGTAATTTGCAGCGCGCTGGCTGCAAACGCCATCTTGCCTGCCGCCTGCCTGAATTAACCAAGTCTTACACGCTACTTTATGCTGCCACAAAGCGCAGCGAGCAGCAGGGGCATCGATGCATGAAATTTCGCTTGGCCTCGTTTGGAATTTATCTAAAATATCTAAATAGTTAGGTAGCCAAACTTTTGGTATCCCAAGTAGTACACAAATCGTAATCGTATATTTATATATTGCTTGTAATATATGTTATGCAAATGAATGTAAACAAATAAGTAGAACTAAACGAACTAATCAACATTAATTACTTTCTTTTGTTTTCCTTACCTTAGTTTCACTCTTCTTTTAAGCACTTGTATCCGTTTGAGCGATTAGTTTTATATGCATATAAAATATAGTGTATATTTATTAATACGACACCAGCTCTGACACGGCCGCGGACATATCAAGAACCGGGCACACACACCCAAATTACTGACGCACCACGTTGTTAAGCAGAAATATACATACACCCACACACACACACACACACACACTCACACTCACAATCACACACATACACACACTCTACATATAAGCAATATATATATATATATCTCATACACAACTTATATGATAAGTGTCTACTCTTTTCCTTTTTTTCGTCTCTTTTTACGCTCTGAAATTTCATTTTCCGATAACAACCACAACAAATGCGCCCAACAACAAACCACACATGCACACCACAAACTGCTAACTATGACACAACAACAACCACAACAATTGCTATGTGTTAACCAACACCAAAACCAACACCACCACCAACACCACCAACACCACCTCCAACAACACAATCAGAGCGTGCCAGTGCTGCGCACATTTGGCGGGCATCACATCGCGTAGCGGGAACTTAATGTGGCCAGCACCACCAACATCAACAACACAGCAACAGCAACAACAACCACCACATGCTCATCGTCGGCAACCACCATAACCACGCCCACAGGCACACCACCCTTGCCACCGTTGCCTAACACGTTTATAGCCATCAAAACGAAGTGCGACGCCGGCAACAGCAACAACAACAACAGCAACAACAGCAGCAACAGCCTCACTCTGCAAAGTGGCAACAATAGTTTTAAATCGAACAGCAACACAAATAGAAGATCGCCAAGTGGTCAGCAGCAACAGCAGCAACCGCCGCCGTTGCCAATGAAAAACGTTGCCAAACAGCAACAACAACAACACGACAATTCACATTATCAACATCTCAGCTACAACATGACACATCTGCAACACTTTAACGCACGCCCCAACAACACACTCGATCGCAAGCACATGTCACATCCACACACTGAAGCTAATGCTGGCGGTGACTACTGTACGCAAATAAATCCGCACTATCTGCAGACCTTCGATAGTCTGGATCCCGATCATTATAGCGTGGCCAATCTGCACGCACATCCGCATCGCAGCCAGTCAAAGTCGCAGATCTATAGCTATGGCAGCAGCGGCACCGCCAGCGATACATCCAATCAGCAGCAGCAGCAGCATCCACAGTATCACAGTAGCAGCAACATAGCGCACATTGAACACCACTACCAGCAACATAGTCATCCACACCAGCAACAGCTGCAGCAGCAGCAGCAACTGACACACCATCACCAACATCACAGTCTGAAGCACACGAAACACAGCAAGGGCCACAAGGGCAAACACAATTCCAAGAACAGCAAATCTCAAGATGATTTTAAGGCCATACACAAGCAGCAGCAGCAGCAACAACAGCAGCAGCAAAAGTGCAGCAGCAACAGCAACAAACAGCAACACAGTAAACGCACTAGCAACAATCAGTTGTTGCCACAGCAGCCGCAACAGCAACAGTATTCTAGCTCCAGCGATAGCTTGCCATTTGATAATAACTATTATTAAAAATGCAAACGCACACACAGCTACACACCCACACACATACACACTCACGTATTGCTGTCTTAGTTGTAGAATGTTGTCGTTGCCCAAAACACAAACTCGTATGCCTAAAACGCACACCAACAACCAACTCAATGTGTCAACACACTTACACTCACACACACGCACACATATATTAACACTTACACACACGCATACCAACACTTTGAATGGTATTACAATCGGGTTGTCACTGTCCGATACAATTTGCAACATGGTGTATACGCAACATGCCAAAAACTTTGCATACTTTTGTGCGCGACCAGCGACACTAATATTTCTAATCGATGCTGCTCTGCTAATGGCAGCTGTTTGTGTTGTTGTTTTATTGAACTTATCGTAAAAAGCCACAAAATATTTAAATGGATTTAGCATAAAATAATTATTGAATAGTTTACTTAATTAAATTAGACTGTAGTTGAAATACCAAAAATTACGGAAATATGTATAAGCCATAAGTTCGAATATGAAAGTAATTACAAAATTATTGATATTTGCATTCAAGTGTTGTAGGTTTTATAAGCCAAAAGTCATTTATTGTTAAATGTGGTCATAATATATGTATCATAATAATATATATATAAATAATAAGCTTAGGAACTTAAGATATTTTAGAAGTTAAGAAACAACCTTCCTAATTTAGTGCCCCTGCCCATGACTCACCAAATAGCCAATTTTCCGACGTAGTCGGTCAGTCGCACAATCCCACCCCCACCTCTCTCTATTTCTGTCTCCCTATCTGTCTCTCTCGCAGCCTTAGCTAATCAGATGTTTATTTATTTATTTCTATAACAATTTGCTTGAATTAACTGCCAACAACTCGTACACAACAACAACAACAAAACATACAACAACAACATACAACACTCCCATACACAGTCGTCCACTTTGGCCAGCGCCAGCGCCCACGATGAGCTTGGCAATCTGCTCTGGCAGCAGGAAGCTACCGAATTCCTCGAGCAGTTTCCCTGTGCTGCGCCCCGCTGCCCTGTTCCGCCCATACGCCATTGCCACGCCCACGCCCACGCCCATGTTCATGGGCATGGCCAGGTGCTGGGCAAACGAGCAAGCAGTGTGGGCGCAGGCGGCGGCGAGCTATTATCCACAGAGCAACGCCATCAGCGCGACATGTTCAGCGGCGACCTGGGCATACCGGAGATCAACACACACGTGGGCAGTGTTGTGCACACCTTCGAAACGCTGGCATTGCAGCGCCGCCTGGCTGAGGCCGAACAGGATCGGGATCGGGAGCAGAGTAAGTATGAGCTGCGCACGTGTAACAACAACAGCATCAGCAACAGCCAAAGCCAAAGCAAATACAACCAGGTGAAGCGGAAGTCGCAGGATCTGCGTCAGCGTCTGCAACAAATGCACCGTCAGAAGCAAAAGCTGCAGGCACAGACACAGGCATTGGTACTGGCACAGGCACAAACACAGTCACAACATCATCATGGCCACTGCATACTAAGCGCACCCGCACCTGGCAAGCTCATCAACAGCTGCAGCACCCAAAGCCTGGCCAATCAATTGGCCATGCTGCCGCGGCCAGCACCCACAGGGGCACACTCCACGGAGCAGCTGCGGCAGCCTTACGGCGGCATTGCTGACGACTATCGCAAGAATCTTTTTGGCACCTTGGTGCCTCAGCGACGGGCACGCAGCAGCCTACAACAGTCCAGCGAGGAGGAGCTGCAAGACGAGACGTACATTGTAAATGCGGCCTTTGATGAAATATTTGCGCATTACGATGACGACGGCGAGGAGCTGGAGGAGGAGTGCAACACGCAGCAGGAGACAAGTCGCACCTACACCAACGACAACACCAACACAGATGACCTATTTGACGATGAGCACATGCTGGTCAGCCTGAGCGAGCTGGACGACGATGTGTTTGCCAGCCGAGCGCAAACGGCCTCCACCACACCCACGACAGCCGGCGCTGGCCGTACACCCAAGCATAGTCATCCTTTACAGAAATACCCGGCGCCGGCACCGCCGCTTCAACAGCGCTCTAGGACGTTCAACAATATCTTTGACCGCTTTAAAGGCAACTCGTCAACGGCGGCGGCAGCAATTTCCAAGCATCCGCTTAAAAAAACGCACTCGGAGCAGCAGCTGCAGCCTTCGCCGCCGGCTTCGACTCCAACGAAGCTGCACAAGTACGCCGCACAGCCGCAGCTTAATACGGAGCCGGATTTCAATCGGGGCTCCACGCTCAGCCAGTCGTTTGTGCGGCAGCTAAAGCGCGTCTCCTACAAGCAAAAGCGCGCACCACCCGCACCGCCGCCCAAGCCGCGTTCCAATGTTGCGCATGTTACACCGCTGCGTAATGCTCTAATCTTTCCTAAGCGCTCCAAGTCATCCAACGAGCTGTTGCTCGACGATCTGAATGTGCAGGCACGTAAGTATTTTCGCCGCTCGGAGCACAGTGCAGCGGTGTAATGGAATACCGGACTGGAGCCAGCGCACTGTTTCTTACCTCTCTTTTGCTCACCCCTTTTATCCACACTAGCTATTAATCTTTGTGACTGAATCCCCTCCCATAAGCAGATCGAATGATAATCACTTTTCTATTGATTCAATTTTTGGCAGAGGCGACGCTCTTGTAGACTAAGTGTCCCGATAACCCGCTATAATGAAAAACGCCAATGACCCCCGATTCCGATACCAATTACGACCCCGATACCATTACAATCTAGCAATACCTAACCAGAAACAGCAGAGGATGATTGAGCGTAGTGAACCCGCCGCCGCTAAAACAAAATAAAAGGAAGCAAAAGTTTCTCTAAATGGAAAAGCTAAAACGAACCCAAAGAGATTCGCGCCATAATTGGATTGAAATTTGCTAGCACTCGTAAAGCCAGCTAATTGAGTAAATTACCATAATAATAAGTACTCATTATTACATTTATGCAAAGCTCGTTTATAGAGAAATAAAATAAAATATGTACTTATAGGTCAACAGCTTAAATGTACTTAAATATGGATATGCATATTTTTCTCATATTATATATATATATACAAATATATATATAAACTGCATGTGAATCGATATATTTAAAACATAAGAAAAACCCCTCAAATCATTAACAATATGTATTTATGTACCAAATTTGACATTTTTCAAATCAAAGAATTTGTGCCCCCAAATCTTGTGCATGTTATTTATGTAATTTTGAAATTGCAAATCATCTATATATATATATATGTATACAAAGTTCACATATAAAAATACTTACTAATGTGGCCAATTGTATGGCACATAACAAGCATTTGTGTAATTATGTAATCTGTTGTAACTTTTAGACTAACAAGAGTATACAAATAACAGAAGCAAATGTAAACCAATTACGAAAAAGAGAGCATACCTTAACTTATGTGCATGCAATAAAAAGTCAAAAATACACTCAATGTATTTGTTTTTCAAGTCCCAGTCGGAGAATCTATCTTTGAGAGAAAATACTTTTATGAGCTAATTTGGCGAACACATTATGTAGGCTTCTCGCAAATGTTGCTGGTTCTATTTAAGGTATTCCAAGAAATGTTTTCCATACAAGAACTCAACTCCGAACGATAGTCGTTGTGGAAATTACATAAGCTATATTGAGCAACACCAGTCAGCATTTACGAGCTTATTAAACATGCACTTTACAATGTTGCTGTACCTAAACGGATTGATAAGATAGTCCGCAATAGGCTTTTCGCATATATTGGTTAGTATAGGGAATCCTTAAAAAACTTTTCCATAGAAGGACGATGAAAATATGGAAGTTTAATGTAGATATGATCTATTGGTCCGAAAAAAAAAAAACTGAAGTTTACCAAATGGTAGTACTCAGCCTTGAAATAAAATATCCTTTCTGAAAAACGTATGCTATTGACCATTCACAATTGTGTTTCCCGATATGCACGGGCAAGACGTTCAAAAAACTTTGTTAGCAAAGTTTACAACACACTCTAGTATATTTAACCTAGCCTTATTTATCTCCAAGACTCGAGGACCTTAATGATCCAACTTCTGATGCCTTCTGGCCTAGTCATTTCAGACACGTTATAATGCTAGTAGCTACGACACCACTTCTTCGGTTGCTTGTGTGGCCGCACGTAGGCAGGACTTAAGTTGATGCTTCTTTAGCTGGATCATGCGGCTGAAGGTCTTCTGGCAGAGGTCGCAACGTTGTCGCCGCTCGCCAGTATGGATGCGCTCATGAGTGCGCAGCACGCTCAACTGGGCAAAGCTGCGATCGCAGAGGGAACATGCATATGGCCGCTCGCCCGTGTGGGTGCGCTTGTGCATCTCAAGCAAATAGACGCGGGAGAAGGTTCGCTGGCAGATGGTGCAAGTGTGTGGCCGTTCCGACGTATGCAACGAGGCAACGTGTCGACGCAGATTGCTTGACTCCACAAAACCCTTGCCACAGTATGGGCACTCAAACTCCACCAGCTTAAGGTGTCTTTTCTGGTGGGCTACAAGTGCGCCATTAGTTTTGAAAGTCTTTGGGCAAACGTCACAGACAAATGGCCTCTCGCCATTGTGCAGGCGAAGATGCATGACCAGACTCGAGACAGATTGCAGCCACTTGCCGCAGTGGACGCAACGATGGTGCGCCCGCTGCGCTCGCATACGCTCGACGGGCACATCCGATCCGGTGCAACTGTGCGCTTCCAAATTGCTTTTCTGAGTAAAGATATGACCACATTGAGAACAATCGTGGACGTCTGCTGCGGGATGTGCCTTGCCAATGTGCCGTTGCAGCGTGGCTGCCTGCTGGAAAACAGCGCCGCAATCATCACAGTTGTAATGGGCATTGGATGGAAGACCTTCAGGTGCGTTTTCTAAAGTTGTCGCTACTTTTTCATCTGGCACTTCCGTCTCGCATTCTTCGTATAATTCCACATGCTCGCTGGGATCGAATGTAATGATGTCATCCGCATTCATTGTGTCCTCCTCATAATCGTCCACCACCAGATCCTCGCCAGCCAAGACGTTAATAGCAGAAGGTAGCGCTTCGTCCTCTAAACGTTCCAGCGTTCTCTGTTTAAGCGCCTGCTCCGTGGCTGCACATTTCTCCCGAAACTTGGCCGAGATCAGCAGCTCTTTTGTGCACTCTTGACACAAATACTTTGGATATGCATCCCGCTTATCAACCTTAAAAAAAAATATTAAAAACATTTGTGAAGATTTTGCTTCGAAACCTCACTTTAATGTCGCCACAGCGCTCTAGTAGGGTGCACAGATCCGTTTGCTGTTCTTCCACGTGCTCGTAGATGTCCACCATCAGCTCATCCTGCTTCAGGCAAACGCGACAAATTACTTCACCTAGCAATGCAGTCATCTCTTCATAATAATGTATTTATTCGCAATTTTGAATTTATTGTTTTCATTGGCACATGCGACCAATATAACGCGCAGAGGCAAATTTAGTACGTTTTATGTGGCAGCTGACTACGCATCTGTTATCGATAGGCCATGTGGCGCGTAATTAAATGTGCCATTTACACGTCACATGCGGGACTTTCAACCTATACAACGCACTAAGGCAAATTTAGTACGTTTTTAGTGGCAGCTGACTACGCGTCTGTTATCGATAGGCCATGTAGCGCGTAATTCAAAAGCGCGAAAATAATTTTACTCGCAATTAAATTTATATAATTTTCTTACGCTACAAATTAAACTTAACAAAACTAAATAACACCAATGCCTTTAACATAATAACAGCGCTTTATTTTATTTTTATAAAAATATGTAATACTTAATAATTTCTTTTATTACTCCAGCTCCTCAAAGTATCCCAGGTGCAAGTAGCGTTTCAGATTACATCTAACATCCTCTAGATAAACTTCATTCAGGTAGAGTGTTGCCCTTAGTTCTCGATTTTCAATCACTTCCGAAATCTCAAGATTTCCACTCTTCATTGCATTTATCACAGGCAAAAAAGTTGTAAGCAAAAAGAATTCTGTGTGGAAAGGCCACTATCAAGAAACTAATAAATAAAAATTAAGTGTTAAAAGCTTACCAAAATACTTATGTCGAAATATCTGCTGCCGAAACTTGCATAAACTGGGTAATTCACCGTCATAATTAATTTTCTTCAAAGTTTCTGTAAAAGTAGAGAAGTAAAAGTAAATTAACTCATCGCGATGGTTATGTCGTTGCTCTGGAGACAGCATCTGATAGATTGAGTAAATAATATCATTGGGCATGGGACCCACATTGCTCATCTGAAAGTCCAAAAGCATACAATCCTCCAATGATCCGCTTGCTTTGTTGTATTTGAACATCAAATTCCTGAGATGAAAGTCACCGTGACATAGTACGTAATAATCACTTTCTTGGGGATTCTGTCGATGCTCCATAAAGGTTTCCCTGCAGCGTTTCATATAGACAGGACGCATTTTCTCAAAGTATTGCTTATAGACTGTTAGGTCTGGCACTGAATCCAACATATTGATAAAATGATTCATGCCATGCAACAAGAAGTCATCTTTTTCGATTTTTGGAATCTCGAACAAACTGTATTTGAATTTCTTCAGCAGCTCTGGTTGCTCTTTATACCATTTATAGCTCACAGCGTGCCATTTGGCTAGCTTACAATATGCACTTCGAATCTCCTTACAAGTTGGCTCCCGATCGCGAAGCACAATGTAACCCTGCGGCAATAGATCTTCAAAGATCATCACCTTTCGTGGCTTTAAACTATGGTAGATGCAGGGCACGTGCAGGGTCGTCTCATCCCCAGCTTGTCGAAGTATTTCTTCAAACTTTGGCAGTATTTCCGAGTACATGCTTATCTCTGTCTCAAAGATATGTGAATCGCCCAGCAGCTCCTTCTTGTGTCCCTCTCTTTCGGGCATGGTCTTTATAATCAGCGACTTGAAAGATTTTCCTTTTTTGCTCTTATACTCCACGGCAGCTCTGAACATAATGCTTGCATAATGATCACCCTTGCCAGTGGCAGGTGAGATGTTCACATCAATTATCTCCACCTCCTCATCATTTTCATGGGCACTTAACACCTCTTTAAAGTATTGCCAGTCCAGCCATGAGGGCGCATCCAGCTCATCCTGATTAAAAGATTCATTGTTTGGTGGCATTTCGTATATGAACCAGTTGGCTTCAGCTCTTGCAGATAACTTAATGTAGAGATTCTAAGGCAGGGAACTTTAATAGACACTCCAACCAATTTGCAGGAGGGCTTTTATATATCTCGTTATCAGTGCATATCTTAACAGCCCGGTTAGATTATCTTCAGTTTATATATCTTGTTACTTGCATCGTCATGGCATACAATTTTGACGGCTCCCACAATCATTTAATTACAACAAATACTTAGTTCATGGGTATGTATTTGTGCAAAATCCAAATGTATGTAACAGGCAGAAGGAAGCATCTCCGACCCCATAAAGTATATATATTCTTGATCAGCACCAATAGCCGAGTCGATCTAGTCATGTCCGTCTGTCTGTCTGTCCGTCTGTCCGTATGTATGAACGCAAGGATCTCAGAACCTATAAGAGCTAGAGACTGAAATTTAAGATGTAGGTGCTCCTAGTGCCTGCGCAGATTGAGTTTGTTTCTGATAATCGATAAATTACTCTGTTTGCAAGCAATCGATAAAAATCGATATCGATATCCTGTTTTCTGGGCAATTTTGGTAAATAATAAGAGCTAGAGTCACCAAACTTGACATATAGCTTCTAAAATAGAATATATATATGCATTTTATGTTGGAAGAAGAGGGTTCAGGGTATCCCCTAGTTGGAGCTCCCGACTAGAACCTCTTGCTTGTTTATTTTTATTTTAGTTATTAGAGAGCACTTTTTCTTTGTACATTCTATATTGATATACTTATATACATACTTCCAAATACTTCATTGTCATGGTGAAAATAGTTTGTCAAGATAACAATTATCTATAAAACAATATTAAGTGCAAATTCATCGTACAGTGGGAATTAGTTTATAGTGATAAGATGTTAAGATAGCATATGTAACTGAAAATTAATTGCTCGTATTATTTTATAAGTATCTATTCACAATATATTGTATCTTGGATGCCGACTAACAATGTGTTTATCTATGCAAATGTAATGTTATTATTCCCCTCTTTTACAACTTCATATACCAACTACCATAAACGAATACCAAACAAACTAAACATTTTAAAGGTTACACGTAGCGAATACCAATTGTACTTGTTCTGTTCTAATCAAAAAAAGACCTTGTTAAGTGAAACGTTATTATACCTAGAAAAGCTCTATTAAAAGTTTAACGACTAAACACATGCAACTGGGTAAATAGTTTTGCAATTGATAAATTTATTTAAACTATTATTCAGGCAGCTCAAAGTAGCCCAGATGCAACATTCGAGGTAGTAAATACTCCAGTTCCTTCTGGTACTCTTTATTATAATAAATATTAACGCGACCTTCTTCACTCTGTATAATTTCACCAGGATCCTTATTCTGACGCATGCTATACGACACAGGCAAAAATAAGGTGAGCATTATGTAATCTATTGATGAAAAAACAGAATAAAGATTATAATCAAATATATTTGTTGTATAGGGGAACTTATGATTTGCTGCGACTTACCAATGAATCTCCTGTCAAACATCTGCCTGCGTAACTCTACTAAGCTAGGTTTCTCGCCTTTGTATCCAATTTTTGTTAATGTCGTTGAGAAGGTATCAAAATAGTGATAGATGAGCTCATCAGAATTATTCAGACGTTCCCCAGCAGCGAATAGCATATATTTCGCATAAACCAGATCGTTAACCATCGATCCCACGTTGGACATCTGGAAATCAAGCAGCATGCAGTCGTCGGGCTTAAACATCAAATTACGCACATGAAAGTCCCCGTGGCATAGTACGTAATAGGAATTTTCTTGCCGATTCTCACGATATTCACGTATTATATCTGCCCAGCGCTTGATCAAATGTTGACGCATCGGCTCAAAGTATTTACGATAATCTTTTAAACTTTCCACATGACCAATCATATCTATAAAGGTGGGTAGGCCTTTGGTTATAAAATCCTGTTCGAAAAAGTTTGGCAAGGTCGTTAAATCATATTTAAGTCTGTCAAATATATTCGGCTGCTCCTTCAACAACTTCTGGCTGACGGCATGCCACTTAGCCAGTTTTCCTAAAGCACATCGCAGTTCATCTAAGGTAAGATTTCGGTTGCGTACCACTTGGTAGCCCTGAGGTACGAGATCCTCGAAAATCATCACTTGTCGAGGCTCCAAGCTGTGATAGACGCATCTTGCACAAAACGTTGTCTCTTCGCCCGCCTCACGTAATATCTCCTCGAATTTGGGCAGCACTTCCGTGTACATGGCGATCTCTGTCTGGAATATAGAGGAATCGCCCAAAAACTCCTTTTTGATGCCTTCCATTTCGGGCATTGTCTTAATAACCAGCGATTTCGAAAACTTTCCCTTCTGTGTTAGATACTCAACGCTGGCCCGAAACATGACACTCGCATAGTGATCACCCTTTGCACTGGCCGGGGATATCTGGACATCAGTCAATTTTATACTGGAGTCTTTGAAGTACTGCATTAGCACCTCTTGTAAGAATGGCTTGTTTAGCCAGGCGGGAGCTTCCAACTCATCCGAGTTGTAAGCATCATTATTTGAGGACATTATTAATAGGAAATAGAGAGCGTCTGGTCTATGGCGTAAATATAAACAAACTGAATGAGAACCTACTCATACCCGGTATTTATACATGATTTTTTACTGACGTGAGCTTTGAAAGCTCTTTAAAACTAAACCCAATCAGTTAAAAGAAGTATAATCAGTGAAGCCAAATTTTGCTTAATACGTTCGCAAAAGATTGTTGGATTGATGGTCGAGCGATATGAACTGGACATCCACCTTGGTAATTTTCATATATTTATACTTATGCCGATTGTAAAGGTATTTTATCTATTCTCTTATACAAAACGCAGACCAAGACTACATCTAGCTGCGCTGCATAAAGAAGAAAACATGAATTAAATGGCTCTACTATGCGATTCTCATGAATTCAATTTTGAATTGCGAAATTTGCATGCGTTAGTTAGATGAAATATATTTGTGTTCTAAAAAATCCTATACGTGCTTGTCGTCCTGATCTTATTTCTTCTTCTGCTGTCGCTCTTACATTCTCTTTACTTCTTTTGTTCGTTTAGTGATGTGTATATTATTACTCTTTCAGAAGTTTTGATCATTTCTGAATTAATTTATATGTACATAGGAGAGCATATCAAATTTATCCTCGAATTATCATCCAGCATATAAGCATTATGAAGCTAATTGTTTATTGAATTCTGCATATCTTTAAAATATCCCAAATTATTCATTCGTTCCAATAGATATGCCACTTCCTCTTGGTAATCCTTATCCTTGTACATGCTAATGCGTCGCCGAAATGGGTCGACGGCATTCTTGCGGGCAGCTATTTGCATAGGCAAAAATGTCGTGAGCAGCAGAAACTCTTAGTAAATTTTTAAAATATTATAAGGTACAGTAATTTATTGAAATATCTATACTCACCGTTGTATCGCTTGTCGATCATCTGGCGCTGAAATTCGTCAAAACTAGGTGCTATGCCTCGGTAACCAATCTTTTTCAAAGTATTGGCACATACTTCTAAATAGTAAATTATAAGTTCATCGCGGCGCTCTCCACGATCTTCAGCAGAAAACAACATGTACATCGCATAGAGAAAATCATTGGCCAGCGGCCCTACATGGGATAGCTGAAAGTCTAACAACATGCAGCTGCTGTTCTTAAACATCAAGTTCCTGATGTGAAAGTCGCCATGGCATAGAACATAATACGAATTTTCATGGGGACTCTTGCGGTGCTCTCCTAACGTATCCGCCCATTGTTGAATTAGATTTCCACGCATAGCCTCGAAATAATGTTTGTACTTCTTTAGACTTTCTGATTCATCCAGCATATAAATAAAGTTTGGCAAAGCATTTGTGATGAAGCTTTGATTCAGAAAGTTGGGAAGGGTGGAGATATTATATTGTAACTCTTCGAACAATTCTGGCTGTTCCTTTAACAATTTGTGGCTGACTGCATGCCACTTGGCCAGCTTCTCCAGCGCAGATCTTAGTTCATCTAATGTGGCAGATCGGTTGCGAATCACTTGATAGCCCTGGGGCACCAGATCCTCAAAGATAATCACCTTCCGCGGTTTCAAACTGTGATATATACAAGGCACAAATAACGTACACTCATCCCCCGCATCTCGCAGTATCGCCTCAAACTTGGGCAGCACTTCTGTATACATGGCTATCTCGGTCTGGAATATGTGTGAATCATCCACCAGTCTCTTCTTCAGACCACCTTCCTCGGACATTGTCTTGACAATTAAGGACTTGAAAATGTTGCCTTTCACGGTTGAGTACTCCACGGTGGCGCGAAACATGACGCTTGCATAATGATCTCCCTGCGCACTTGCCGGGGACAATTTAAGATCGTTTAGCTTTAAATCTGGTGCATTCTCGTATTGTATCAAGACCTCGGTAAAGAATGGCGTATTAAGCCATTCCAATGCCTCCAGCTCATCCGGATTGTAATTTTGATTTGTAGACATGCCCTACTTAAAAGTATATATCGATTATATATGCGTTTACTCAGGTATGCACGACAACTAACTAAAAGTTTACCCAAAAATTCTATTTATTTATGTTTTCGTCCATTGAAAGCTTTTCGATAAGCACAAAGAGAGCGGCACAACAACAAAAAGTTAGATGCGACTAGTTAAATACCCAGCAGCTTGGTCAATTTTAGAGGTGCCTCTTTCTGTCGTTTGCAGTCTACAAACCCGTTTTGTAGAGTATGAAATTGGCTAAGAGCAATAATAGAATTCTCTATGCTAAATGTTTTCATGCTCACAACAATTATTATCAATTGAATATTACCTTAAATGGTTGTCTTTTGGGTAAACAATGACAAGGGAATAGAAAGAGCGTAAATAAAAGAGAAAATCGTGTTTCTTTTTATTGTTTATAGAACCATTTCTAGTTTCCCCATTTGAAGAGAAGTTAAAAAAAAAGTTTTTTTTGCCGAATTTGGCAACGTGGTACTCCAGCTTTTGGTTCTGAATAGCTGGATTTCTAATGGCAAATGGTAATATCGTAATGATACACAAAAGAGCTTTGTTTAGTATAAAAAAAAGCGCAAAGTCTGGTAGTGCGTGTTTTGGATTCGATATCGAAAAGCATGAAAATCAATTAAAAAATCTCTTATGAAAATTATTTGAGCGCAGATACTTTTTAAATTATTTGATTGTTCCATATTTTACTTTTACTAATTTGATATTTTTTAGATGGTATTAAGTACGATTTCAAATCATATCTAGAAATTTCGTTTCAAAATACAGATTGAAATGTTTTTTGCACGAAAATTTATTTATTATGTAGTATGGACAAAAATTGATTAATAATAGCATATATGTCAGTTTGTATAAATGAAATTAGGCTAATAAAGGCCAAGAGTATATACATTTTATGCACCTCCATATATGAAGTTGTACTATACACGTAAATATAATTTAAACGTATACATATTAAAAGCAATGTGCCCTAAATTAATGATATGTAAGTTTAATGAAATAAATGATATTTAGCTATAAAAAGAATGTACAAGAAATCGTAAACGAAATTCCAACCCGAATTACTGATCTGCATCCAGCAACCCTTGACAATCAAATACATTCAATAATTCCCGCAGAATCTTTTGGGCAACTGGATTTGTATAGCAGCCATTCTTGAAGTTAATCGCTCGCTGGTCGGACTTCATTAAAGCATTGAAGTCCGCATCATCTGTTTCCACATTTCGCTGGATGGGAAAGATACTGAAGCTGGTGTGCATGGCTGAAGGGACGAAATAAAGAAACTCAGATTATTAAAAGTTCCGGAGAGATTTACAAATGTTTAAGACTTACCATAGAAAGATTTCTTCTTAATCTCCAACTGAAATTTATGTAGACTGGGAATATGCGCTTTGTAGCGCAGTTTTCTAAGCGTACTTGAGAAGATCTCAAAGTAGTACTGTATGAGTTGCTCCTGATGGTGTAAATGCAAATCCAATTGCAGCGAGGAATTTAAAAAGTAGAACAGATCAATCGCCGGTGAGCCCCAGGCAGCGTACTGGAAATCAATGATAATGACATCCTCCGGTTCGCCGGTGGATTCGTTATACTTGACAAGGACATTATTGGTCCACAGATCGCCGTGGGCCAGCACGTTAATGCCCGGACAGACATCGAACACTCGCTTGCCCAGCTCCATGTAGACGGGCACGAGAGCCTCCAGTTTCTCAGCGTACTGCTCGTAACCAGGCCATTGAGCCAAACGCGTGCTGGCCGCTTGAATCATGCCCAGAAAGCAGGGCGCATAGTTATCTGTGTGACGGTTGAACATGCCACGATCGTAGGATTCCAGGGCGCCGAGCTCGCGCTCGTTCAGCACTGCCGAGGTGGCATGCATCTTTGCCAGCTTGCGCAGAACTAGGCGGGCCAGCTTCATATCCAAGCCCACTAGACGATCGGGCATTACATAGCCACGTGCGCTCAGATCCTGGAAGATCAGCGCGGAGCGATGGTAGTCGACGGCCATTGTCTCTGCAAAGATTTGTTCACCATCCTTAATTTCCCGCAGCAGCGCATTAAGTTTGGGCAGGATCTGTTCATAGATGGACATTTCCCGGTTGAATATATCGTAGGGTTCCATGGCTTTACGTGCGAATTCGTCGCTCTCAAACGAGGTCTTGATTATGTAGTGTCCGATCAGAGAACTGCCATCGCTTCGGATAAACTCCGCCTTGATGCGGGTTAGAACGCCGCCATAGTTTTCGCCCCGTCCCAGTGCCGGACGACCATCAAGCGCGGTGATCTTCAATTTCGGATCCCTGTAGAATTTGCGCAAAGCATCCTGCAAATAGCTTTCTGTAAGCCATTCTGGCGCATCCAGAAATCTTGAGTTTAAGTCTGGGTTAGCTGTTGTCAGCTTAGGAATGGCATCCAATGCGCTTATTAAATCCGAAACAGACATTTTCCTTGAGCTATTCGAACTGATCTATCACAATAAACTCTTCGAAGGCTGTTGCTAAAATATCAATGTTCAAATTTCTGAAGCACACGGCTTTTTATACGACACCTTGTGGCAGGTGTCGACGCCGTGTTCCTATCACAATTGTGATTTATCTCTCTTAGATAAAAAGATGCAGATTATATATGCCTGTGCATGCATAAATACAGATTATACTTAGTCTTAATGGATCGCGCCATCGCAGCTCGTTCAGGCTGCCCCAAGCGCTGTTGCTACCGCCCACTACTGATAATTGAGGGTTGTATGTTGTAATACTTATATAGACTAATCACTCCAGTGTAGTCGTAAGATACTCAGGGTTGAATAACACACAACATTTTAAATATTTAACGAGATTTAAGCTATAACTGAGCTTGTGATGAATGAACCTAAAATACATACAATTTTATGTGCGTGCTTATAATTTATTTAAAACTGAAGTTAAATTGGTTCTATCAAATTCAGCACGTGCAAAATGAATGGGTTTTACATGGTTCGTTTATTTTGGCACCCTTGAAATAGGTACTAAACTTTTATCATAAAATGTGTAATGCATTTCCGACTCCATAAGGAGTCGATCCGCATCAACAGTTGATATAGCCAAGTCCGAATGTTTTTCTGTCCGTCTGTCTGTTTCTATACGAACTAGTCTCTCAGTTTTAAGGATATCGTCTTGAAACTTCGCAGAAGTCCCTCTTTCTGTTGCACGAGTACATATGTCGGAACCGGCCGGATCGGACCACTATATTATAAAGCTGTCATTGGCAGGATCGTTCCAAAAGTAGATTCTTGTATGGTAAACTTTTTATTTTTCAAGATATCTCTACCAAACTCTGGATTTATAAGTTTTGCCATGATCCTAAACTAAATCATATAACTACCAAAGGAAATATTCTGTTTTCCAAGATACTTGAAAGATACTTTAAAGTCAGAATATACCAGGTTCACTATTTTCACATATCTGCTAAAGGGAAATGCATACAAGGGTATAAAATCTTCCGCGTGCCGTGCCGTGTCTTTGTTTGTAGAGTTACTAAGAGCGTCTGGGCAAATAACAATCATGATAAATTAAGACTAATCAAGGCCTGGGACTACATTTTACAGGTTTTTAGGGTAGCATGCATACTAAGTCTAATGAATGGACTTAAACTGTCATTATACAATTAATAGTGTATGATCTTTAATGTCTTACAACAATCAACAAACAAAAAACTATTATTATTTTAAGATAATTTATACGTGTCTGTCCTGACCGACTGATCAACGCAAAGCCAAGCCATGAGAGCTATAAATGCACGCGAAGGCGGGTTTTTGGTCAATTCCACCTGTATATATGGAAAACCGATGGAAAAGCGTATTATATATGCTTCTCTTTTGCTTACGACGTAAACAGCTTCAAGCTGTTTCATTTTCACGTACCACGTATTTCGCACTTTTCTAAATATCCACCCCAATAAGTGAAAAGTTAAGCAATAACGCGGAGGACTACAGCAAAAAATAATGAAACATTCAATGCCCCGGATCCTTGTTGTGCGGTCAGTGAAAATAACTGCATGATAAAATAGAAATAAGATAATTTTCAGTATTTTAGTATAGTAGCATTTGTGGTGTGCACTCAACTTAATTAATGATGTTCTCAGCCGTATATCATTTAAGATTGCACGCAGACTTAGATAATATTCCGTGCACTTGTAACCAGCAATTCGTCTGGCACACGTCACATGGCACGAGCTCTGGACCTGTTGCCACACAGTTGCACTAAGCTCGGAAGCAAATACCATATATGAATCGTATATTTATATGGTAGTCGGAGCAAACATTTGCTCAAATATAAAAGCATCGCGCACAGGGAGAGAGATAGATTGTAGAAGTGTAAAAAAATAAAAAAACTGTATGAATTTCACCTTCACCAAAGGCAGTTTCTATAGCGCCGATCCTCTCGTATATAAGTCAGTGAACCCGATAAACGTGCACCACAATCGTCGACATTTTAGCTAGAACAAGACATAATGGCAGCGGCACCTGAATGGCTGACACATGATTACATTGAGCACGCGCTGAGAACGCATTACAAAGATGACAAATTACAGATTGTACTGCTTGAATTGAATCCGGCTCTGGCACCAGGCGAGAACTATGGTGGTGTCTTGACAAGGGTCCGCGTGCGTTTCACACTTTCGCAACAATCCCAAGAAGAGCAGCTGCAGAACCTGATCGTAAAGACCTCCATTGACGATGATGAGTTGACGAAGGAGCTTATGGCGCCCTACGACATTTACAACCGCGAAATGACCATCTATGAGGAGGTGCTACCCAAATTAAATGAGCTTCTCAAGGAAATTGATGAGTTTGAGCCCTTGTTTCCCACCGCCATCTTTGTGGATCGCGAACGCATGGCCATCATCTTTGAGGATCTAGCCGTGGCCCATTATGTGATGGCCGATCGTGTTAAGCGTCTGGACAAGGATCATGCTCATTTGATCCTTCGCAAACTGGCCAAGATGCACGCCACCTCTGCGGTAC